TGAATAATTTCCGAGGAAGATACACGCTATATCTGTTTATGAATATTATCGACCGATTATAAAAGTACAGTAAGAGAGTTCTGTGTACCAAACTAAACCGTTTATAAGTAAGTGATAGGGGTCATAGCGATCGGTCACGACATTTCCTTGCAAAGAAATCCCATACAGGTCACATCGTTGTGAATATGCTAAATACGCTAGACTGACTAGAATAAAACTCTATCACATCTGCTCTTGCAGATGTATGTGAAAGATGTAGAGACGATGTATGAGATGATGTTACTATTGCTGAAATAATCATCATACTTCAAGAGTTTGTCTATCTCGTATACTTCTATGTTCATGTGTGGTTTGAAATATAATCGCTGATAATTAGGGAAAGATTCTAGCGGAAGAATTGATAAGAGACTCATATGACTGATTTGTTTCCTATCAAAGCGATAACGAGATTTAAACGCTTACAATCATGAATATATAAGAAGATTTCCCTACTTCAACAATCATTTTATATACAGATGGGTTACGAAGTGAGCATTGACCCTGAGAAATGCCGATTCACAACTGCCGGCGGCACACCGAAATATAAAATCATCAATCACTGCGGCAGGAATCTCGCCTATAAGATAGGATCATTCTCACCCACTTCGCTGTTATGTGGGACCTTCACCTTGGCCGGCCAGTGTTTTGAAGAAGTTAATCTTACTTTCGTGATGCTATGTTAGTGATCCCAAAGAATTGTGAGGATGTTCTTTGCTATCACCAGTTATAAGTTATGTTGCAAAAGCCAAGGCTCTATCTTGAAAAAGTTTGTGCTGAAATAATCGTTAGAAACTGCTCTACTCATTGTTGAATAAGATTTCAGAACAATCAAGTCGTTCAGTTTTAGTCAGGATACGTATATATATATATATATATATATATACATATATATATATATATATATATATATATATATAGAGAGAGAGAGAGAGAGAGCTCATGTGGCGCAGTGGTTAGAGGTGCTCTGCGTATCACACGAGGTCAGTGGTTCGATCTCGCGCTCATGGCTCACCAAGCTATCCTTCCCTCCGGGGTCGGTAAATTGGTACTAGACAGGTCTCAGAGTTGTCTGCGATGATAAGCAGCACTGACTCGGTTCAGCGGGAGGCCACCGCGAGTCATTGTAAAGGCCAGATATGCATTCAATCACCTCAAACGAAGTTAAAAATTGAAGTCGAATGCGTGGCGCATCCCTCAGGGATTGATCAACGCCGAGAGCTTTATCCTATATATATATATATATATATATATATATATATATGTATATATATATATATATATGGTAGATGTCCAATTGTGCAAAGACAATTCGTGTTTTAAGCAGATAATTTTCTCTAAAGCCTTGTGTTTGGGACCGGAATGCCTAAATGAATAGAGTTGTGCTATCAATCACACGACAATGTTTGCGGATACAACCACCATACATGATCGAATTTCGACTATTTTAATAAATCATATGCTATTTCTACGATGAAATATTTGTGCAGTAGCGGTGCAACAATCACTGCGCATTGAACGATGAATGATATGCAAAACATTCAATCCCAGGCAGGAATTGCGCCCAAACTTGACCCAAGTGTGTTAAAAGAGCGGTGATTGTGGCGCTGTGCTGACAACACGTGCCCCGCCTGGGTTAAATGTTTTGTATAACACTCAACGTTTTTGGATATATAATTACGACATCATGGCTGTACTGAAAAGAAACGAAACAAAGGATTCTTACAGATCAGTCATTGATCTACGTCAATAACTCTACGTCTTGAACTGAAATATCCTCGTAGTAACAGTTTTCGGTACTTTTCCGTTATCTCTTCCCTGTCCCAGCCCCTTGGAAATTTATGCCTCAAATGGCTTTTTCATTGTGCTATGACAGAAAAAAAGAAATTTAATTCACATTCAAACATTTTTTGCTGGATAACCTTCTTTGAGGTTCCACTAATGATTCGATAGCACAAATCTATAAAATTTCAAAATTTACATGATTTTCAAAAAGGACTTCTTGGTGCGTTATAACTATCAAAAGAATATTGGTTTCGCAAATTTAGATCACTTTCGTTATCAGCATCCTATTTCGACCCGCTGGGAAGAAAGTGATTTATAGTTTTCCTAGAGTTTTTGAATATCTGGTAACATAAATCACGGAAATTCCAAAGGTGAGTTCGTTAATATGAATTTTTTAAAGCGCTGTAACAGTGAAAGTGAAATTATATCTTACGCTCAAACATTTTTTCCTGGAAAACGTTTTCCCTCCATTTATAGTATCTTTCGATATCAAAAACCCCGACAGTGTTACAGTGCAGAAAAATTTTGGTCTTACTCAAAGTACTTGAAAAGTCACCAGCAGAGTTGAGTATTATCTCTGCCGCCTTGGGTAGAGTGAAATTCTGTCATTTAATATCAAAACAAACAGAAAAACAAACCTTGAAAAAATTTATCCAACAGTCACTTTTGTCTCACTTGATTTTAGTATCAATAAAAGAAAGAAGGTTTTAGGTAGTATCTCAAGACAAATCAAAATACTCAGTACCAATGGGTAAGGCCTTTCCTATCAGTAACACTGGCGATGCGAGCAAGAATTGCTATGGAGAGCTAGCCTGCAAGATAACTATGAGACTAGTAGGGGGCGGATAAAGCAGAAATAAAGTGATGTAATAGATTCGATTATCTTCAAGCAATTGTGGATTGGTATGATAAGAAATTGAAGAGTATTCTTAACAGTGAACTTACTGTGTAACTTATGGAATAAGAGAGCACCTTGGACCCCAGTAAAAAAATTTTTGGCACTTTTTGGTTATAAACGGACTATTGAATATTCGACCTTATTTGCTGCACAAGAATTTCTTGTGGGAGTGTTAGCAATCATTTAAAAGCTTAGGTTTTGTGACTACAACTTCACCTAGGCAGTTTTCAAGGCACCGTTTTATGACGCTGTAGCATTCAGAAAAAATCATATCCGCTATGAACCTTCAGTTCTATATGTATACAATTTGTTGGAAGCACGAAAACCATGTCAACGTGTGGAGTAATTTTTGTAGTATTTTAGTCAATCGTTATATCTAGAGTTCTTTCAAAGCGGAGAAAAAATTCCGAATTGAATAGCAACATGTAAAGCGCAGTCGATCGTTTTGCCTCGCCTCGCTCCTGCCCTTGCCTTGTCCCGTGGAATAGCCGGTAAACAAGCTCGCCGAAAGTCTAAACTCAGTCCTATTTTTCCTACTAAACGATGTTTTCTGAGAAACTGAGCACAGCTTTGGAATTATTGATACTTGCGCCGAATGATTACCAGAAGAAAGAACACTGTCCACTCCACCGTCTGAGTTAGTACCCAGAAACCAGCATCTGTGACGAGTACATTGTTTATTAAGTTCTTCAATTACCTCTTTGTCACTGTCTACGAGAAATCAGTCGAGCAAAATTCTCTAGTCTCCATCTATACGCATGATAAAATCGTTTCATCGGAAGACTTATCTAAACATAATCTCTCTTGCAACTTTTGCTAATCATGAATTGTAGAAAAGTTCTGACGTATTGCCTGAAAAAGAAATTTTTGAAGATGCATTTTGTGCGAACTTAAGCTCATCAGAATGTTCATCTTTTCAAGCTTCGAACGACATATTACTTGCTTACACAGCCTACAGAATGGAACTGCCTAAGGAAGAATTCTTTTGCTGTTTCACTTCCACTTTAAATTGGGCGTAACGCTTCTGAGGCGTACTTGAGTTTTACAACCGTGGAATATTTGTGTTGTCGGTATGTAACTGAATCATCTTGATGTGGAGGGAGGCCAATTCGGCTTATAATTTCTTTTTTTGCTTAAGATTAATTCTCATGCAAATAAGATTTCTCAAGCATTTTGCAAATACTATAGAGCTTTTTCTTCGTCCCATAAGTAAAAACTTGATACACTGAATAGAATGAATTGTTGTAGCGTAATTGTTGTCCTTGGTATAAATGGAGGAGGATATCCATCGGAATCAGACTGAGAGATTTTTGGCTTACTAGTGGGAGGCCACAACCTCCTGAACATGGTCGTATTGAAGATGTTCGTAGACGTAGGAGCTGGACGACAGGAAATATTCTTGACATTTAACTAAAAAGATATACGGAGAGGGCGCAAATGGCGCACATGTTGTGTCGAAATCGCCAATATAAAACAAACTCATAGTACCAAAGATAGGGATAATAAAAATTAGTATTATAAAGCTATAGAAAAAAGACTACTTCATATTATAGTAGAGGTTGTAACTCCAGAAGTACACCAATAATCGAGAATTTATAGGGAGTAATTTATATGGATGGAGTAGCACAGCATAGAGTGCAGCATCACTTTTGCCAAACTATTCCCCGACTTGTGATTTTCAATCGTTATAATGACTTCTGTGGATAAGAATGAAAGGCTGTATGTGATAAATAAATGGTTTATGACGTAATAATGCGCTCAGAACTACAACGTGATGATATAAATGTTCGATTAACTGCTTGAAAATCTGTGGCTATTGATAAACGCGCATTGTTCTTTACATAACAAAAGAGAGATAAATATGATGGATATATGAATAAATATGATCAGAATAACTTAGCAATGTTTATTAACAGCTTCAGTTACGACCCTTCCGCAGAAATGTGGTTTTTCTTGCGGGTTTTCGGAGAAAACATCAACGCTGTTCCCCTTACCCATAACTTTATTGAGGCTTTTCTATCATGTTTTTCCACTTACTAACGGTGAAATCCTCTTTAGTGATAATGAAATCCTAGACTCCATCAGAAAAATACCACATTACACTATAGCTCGGCACGCGATCGCGCCGCTTGCTGTGTGGAAATTCAACGTAGAACTCAACGAGTTATCTGATTTGCTTCTTATCAAAGCAGTACTCAAAGTCTTTGGTGTTTTACTGCCTTTTCGCAGTGTTATGATGTTTCATAAATACCTAAGAGAATTGTTTGGCGAGCAAAAACACGGCCTCAGGCGGGAATCGAACCCGCGGAATCGAACCCGCATTTCATCCTATCCGGGGACGCGTGCTCTACCACTACACCACCGCGGCACATTTACCCGAGCACTCCGCGACTCATTGTAAAGGCCAAATATGCTATATTCACCTCAAACAATGTTAGATGAAGACGAATGTATGGAGGATCCCTCAATGATCGATATATTATCAAGTGTTAACAAGAAGTAAATATTCCGATTGCGAATATAGAAAGAGATAATTCTTTTCAACAATTATTTTACATGGAGATGGGCTACGAAGTGAACAGTAACCCTTCAAAAGGCCGATTCACAACTTCCGGTGGCACATCGAAACATAACCTTACTAATCAGTGAGACAGGAGCCTATAAGGTTAAATCATTCTCTTCTGCTTTATTGTTAGGTGCGTCATTCACACTTGTCAATACTTTGAAGTAGTTAGTCCTAATCTTTCGAAGCTTCTTGATGATTGATGTAACTGTTTTTGCTAACATGAGTCGAAATTATCGGCTGTATGTTACGATAACCAAACGCTCTCTTAAAAGACCATCTCTCAAAATCGCCGCCAATATCTGGTCATCGTCGAATGAACTTGAATAAATTAGTTTACCCAGTGTTAGTTAGAACACTTTTAATTTCTCAAAAAATCCATAGCAGATGTGTAATTAGTCTAGAAATTTGTAGTACCAGCTGCAGTGTGTTAGGAAAAAAAAGCAATGTGGATGGCAATAGCCCGGTTGTCCGACGACAATTCATGTTTTTAGCAGCTCATTCTCATCAAAATATTATGTTCGGTAATGGAATGCCTAAATGAATACAGATGTGCTATCGAAAGACATGGCAGTGTTTGCGAATACAGCCGCTATACAATATCAAATTTTGCTAAAAAATAGTAAAGCAAACGTTAATGATACAGTATGGAATGATATCACTGTAGCAATGTACGAACCGCTGGGTAGTTTCAATGGCACTGAGATCTGCTCTGGAACATCGTATAGCAGGAACGGATCTTTTCGTTATCGGGCAGGGATTGAAGAATTGACTTCTTTTACTAGACGGAGTCTTTCCATCAAACTCTTAGTCATCATCCGAAAGCCTTATCCGGGAACTGCTGAACATGCTCTTTTTTCAAAGGCCTTTTCATAGCGTTTAGCATTCACAATAAGATTATGCTTCACACGCAACGGGAGCTTTTATTACTCATAGGTTTTCTCATAAGTTTTGGCACTAGAGCAATAAACATCAGAGCTAATAACTAGAAGTAATTAGAATTGCTTAACAACGCTATCCAAAGTATGCGCCATTAGCCTGAACACATTTCTGTAACCTCTCAGGCAACAAATCAGTACCGCTTTGTGCAGAACTTTCCGAGCTTTTTCTACTGGTGCCAATTTTCAGCCGCAATCTTATCCTGTTTCAAGACAACGCAAGTTGCATGTCGTTAAATTGACAAAGAGGAAGTTGACCGAGCTGAACTGAAAGTTGCTGAATCATCCGCCGTACGGCACTGACTTGTCGCCGTCCGACTATAACCTCTTAGGATCGCTGGAGTACTTCCTGAACAAGAAAAGTTTTTGAGATATCAATCATTTGCGCCGAATATTGGCAACTTTCTTCATATCTATGGATGACGAGTTCTATGAGCGCGGTATCAATCACTTCTGGCTAATAAATTTGGTGTTTACTCCTGTAATATCAAAACTTCTGAGAAGACCTATTCTTATATTTATATATTGCTGGACAACACTCTTTCTATAAATTGCTGATGGTTATTCGACAACTGATTTTTTGAAACACTCAGAAATCCCGCGTTTTGGAAACACTTTTTTACAGCGTTATAGCAAAAAGAAAACATGTGTGTTTCACGCGTACGCATTTCTTGTAAGGTGGAACTCTTTCCTTGAATTTATGAGTAACGGTGCGATAGCACTAGTTTCGACGACTTCGATAGGGCGTATACTTCCTGAAAAGACCATATCACTACAGTGTAGTAAAGAAAATAAGATTGAGTTTCACATACGCCGCGCATTGCTTGTCGTTCGCTGCCTGATGGGTGTGGATAGATAATGGGCGATTGATAAAGCATGCAGGTGCGATTCACATATGAAGTGCAATTTTTGTGATTGAATTTAAGACTTTCATCTGCTTTGAAAAAATCCGGATAAAACGTATGACTCTGTTACTCGAAGATTTACTCTACACGTTCTTAAGCTTTTCGTGCTTCTAGCAAAATATAAGGTTGACAATATTAACGTCACCCGGCGCGTGAAGCAAAATCTTATTTTGATACTACAGCGCTATAAGAAGGCCTTTTCAAGAAAAGCACGTATAGTAGTTATCCGATATTTAAGCTTTCAAATGATTACTAACAATCTTATGGATAGCTCTTGTCCAAATGAAGAGGTCAATCCTTCATTTCCTGTCCGATGACGGAAAAAACTCATGAATAATTTTTTTCCTCACCTTGCTGTAAAACTGCTACGAGAGTATCTATTACTGAATAGTTCTGAGTGGTACAGAATGTGTAGACATCTATCGGGTAGTTGTACCTCAACGATCTCTTCTAACGGGTGTATACCATATTATTACTATTCATCAATGCGTATTTGTAAGTGGTACAACGTGGACACAAATCGAATGGGTGGGCGCCCACAACTATTTTTTGACCGCATGTATATTGTATTTAGGAAGCTTCTGCTACCGCAAACAACGAAGAGCATCTTTATGCATCATAGAATCACAATTAGAACAGCATTGTGAACAGACATAATCCACCAATTTCCTTCTTATGATTAACGTTCAATCTCAAAAATAATTACCATTTTGGATCAGAGATGCTAACTCATAGTCACTCTGATATTGAGAGCGCTTTGATTAGTAAATATCATATTTAAGAAACAATGTTTGACAGTGCTTTATCAATGAGAAGTACGTGCGTAATCTCCAACAATGTTAAGTTATATCTCCACTACATCGATTAGAGTGAAATTTAGAATGAACCAGTTAAGTAACACAATAAATGCAAATGAAACTTCTAGAAAAATTTCACGCAACACATACTGTTGATCACATCTGGCATTATCAAAGAACAAAGTTTCTGGTGGCGTTTCAAGACAAATCAAAGTACTCAGTACCAGCTGACAAAGCTGTTGGTGTCACTGAAAGTGGTCGCACAGTCGTAATTGAAATCACCAGACAGGTATTTGATGAACTGCGTTTCTTACAAAATTTTTCTACAACTGACTGGCATTTGAATCATGCTGACTATATTACGATTGCAACTGGTAAAAAGAGACATGAATTTGGAAGTTTTGTAAGCTTTTTTCTAGTTACTTACCATAGATTATTGCAGACCGTTGCAAGTTATGCGAAGGTAGGCCACCTTATGAGTAGGTTTCCTCCGAAATGCTCGTGATTCGCATATAAGTGTGCTCTTCTCTAAAACAATTTTTGGTCTGGAAGGACACAGAATAGCTTCTAGCTGTCTTGCGCGCCTTTGAACTTCCGACATACCGTTTACGTCAGCAATCTTGACGAAAATCCGGAATTCAAAACTGTAAATATGAAATATCACTGACAAAAGTAGTAAAACACACTGAAATGATTCATATTCAACGACGTCAAAACGAAAAAGTCGTTCATTCATCAATCAAACAGCTATAATGAATATTAGGAGCAAAATCTACTTCGTTTTTGATTTTCACGCAAAGAAAAATTGATGGAAAAAATTTTGAGAAAGCAATGCAGCAGGTCTGCCTTTACAATCTTTAACATAGAGAAGAAAATGAACGCAGAAAAACACTAAAACCTAGTTTATTATCATTTTATCACCATACGTACGCTCATTATATGACAACTTGAAGGTCATCTGTGAGACTGACAGAAAATCTTTTATATAGTCCATGCAAGTTTAGTCAAGGATCCAATTTCAAACTTTTATGACTAAGGAGATGAATGCTAAGCAGGTGATGTCAAGAAAGATATTTAGTTTGTTCTACCAAGAAACTTCTATGTACATATTCTATAAAGCACTGAAGTGCATATATTGTCGGCTTCAACTATACTTAGCGATAGCAGACAATGGTGAATGCTCAAATAGCTTGTATTGTTTGGCTAGAACATTCCACAAATCCACAGACCTTTGTTTTGTAGTAATCATGCTGCAGCCGCCTCGTCATGCAATATTTTGTGAACACAGCTGAACTAATGAGAACACCGTTCTCTTTTTCCTTTTTCAGATGACTTTCGTTTTAGCCTGGTAAAGGACCTCCAGAGGAAATGACAATGAAATACTTCTTAATCACTAGCACTGGCGACGCGAGTAAGAGTTGCTGTGGAGAGCTAGCAGGATAGACAACCATGAAACTAATTACTGACGGATAAAACGGAGATAGAATGTTGTGACAAAGTTGCCTTTTTGGTAAATGTAGTAATAACTATTTAAAAAGCTCTCTAAACAGTGATAAAACTGTGGTGAACTTCTAGTACCTCAAAATACACGTGGGAAATTTATTAGCATCGAACAGGGCGGAAGTATGAGCTTATTCTCAATTTACGGCAAAAAATTCAGTCAATTGCGAGAAAGCTCGTAACTGACGCCTATAACACGATAAGACGAGTAAGGAGAGAGAGTAAAAAATGAAGCAAGCAAACAGCGTGCACACAGAATTATGAAAACCTGTTTAGTCGGGCATCTAACAATACAGCTCAGATTCGAACAGTTCTAGGTAATCACTCGATCATCTTTGACATAAATTAGACACACAGCAGATAAACTTACGGTTATATTTTTAGTATGTGTCACAAGTTTTTTTAGAGAAAACTTGTAACAACTCCTTATTTTCTCTTTGTCATCAGTACCGTTTGTAGTACTAGATTGATGAAACAGCAAGTGTGGTGTATGCTTTGTTGAAAATTGCCGTTTGATATTGTAAAACATCCCTGAACAAATATGATTATGTTATGATTATTTTAATGCAAATTTCTCTTTCCTTGTACTATTGCTAATGACATGCCACTTGCTATTCATTTTATATTTACTTCGGAGTATGGAAAGGAAAAGTAATTGCTTTTCA